TCCGGCTGCAGGCTGCTACAGCCATTCAGGCTTGTCTAGTTCAGTTAGGCCTCCTGTCCTAAGTATGGTTTGCAGTCTTTGACACTACTAGGGGACCAGAAGCCTTTTTCTCTCTGTGTTAAGTTCAGCTGTCTCTAAGGCTGCCCTTACCCTGTACCCAACAGAAGGCAGAGAAGGCAGGGATACACATTTCAAGAATCCAGAGCTGACTGTTGCCTGCTGGGGGGACTAATCTCTCCCCAGGTTTCATGGTTCCACATTAAAACTTTCTAGCAGGTACCACTAGGCCATCTCCAACAGGTTCTACAGAGGATTCAGTGTGGTAACATCATGCTCTCTGGAAGTCCTGATCCATGCCTTCTACGGTATTCAAGGTGGCAAATCCTTGAAGGAAAAGTCTTAGTGTACTCATCTGTCTGGGAGGACATTGAGTCCTCCAAGAACCAGAGCCAGGATTCCTGCCAATGGGTTGGAGCCTCCCTGTAGACAGTGGAGTCTCAGCGACACTCTCCCGTTTTCAGTGTGTGTTCTAACAACATTACAGCTGCTCTGAGGGCAGTTCCGAACCCTAAATCTCCATGCTAGCACTGAAACACAGCTGCCCACACTTCCACACTTCCACACTTCCTCAGCAGTATAGGTAGTGAGGGCAGAAGCTAGGCCTGGGTTAGCTTAAGGATGCTGGTATGGACCCAAGGAGGGGTCCTTGAAGGGTAATCTGGAGACCCAGCAACTTCTCTGCAGAAGGCCAGCATAACAACCTTAAGGACTGAGCTATCTTTGTGCCCACAATGTCCTAGTTCCAGTGACAAGAACACCTAGCATAGAGTAGGCTGTATGGTACTTCTACCCAAACCATCACACAGAGGCTATGAACCTATGGATCTGGCCGGCTTCCCGGGAAATGGAGTTCATAGACATGTGAAGGTTGATTCCCAAGGGCCAGGACGACCCTGGCTCCAGTGAGTCAGTCCCTCTAACTGAAGCTAGAGTGAAAGGAGCAGAACAGAGAGATAGAAAGAACTAGAAACCAGAAATGAGGTATAAAAATCTGTATTTATATTACAATGACAGAATGACACAGCACAGCCCCATCTATTAGACAGGTGGGATGGGGTCCCATTCCAGTCTGCAGCTCAGGTCTCATAACTCACCCACTGCACTGGCACCAGGCCCCTTGTGTAGCCCCTGACTCTGGCACGGAACCTGCCCTAGTGCCCTTGTTTAGAGGCCTGAGAACTTGCTTGCTGGCCTGGGATCAAGACCCTCTGGGCAGGCACAAGGGGTGAGAGACTAACTGACCCACCAGAGGCAGGGAAGGCTTGGGGCACACAGAAGGGTAGGGGCTGTCCAGCCACAGTTTGGTGCACAACTCCATCTGCCTAGAAAGGCAAGCACAAGCACCTGCAGGTTAGAAATACAGAGGCAGGCCTAGGGCCCATATAGAGACAAAAACGTATGTGTCCTCTCCTGCTAGATCAGGTGGGCCTGCAGCAGATGGTGGGTCTGGTGCGTCTGGATCACCTCCTAGTAAAGAGGCCCAAGCCTGAGCCTGGAGTTCCAGACTCTGTTGTAGAGCACCATATGGCTCCCATGGACAGGTGCAGGTGGAGGACATAGAGCAGCTATTTTGCTCCAGCTTTCTTCTACAGACACACAATAGCCTTGACTGAATCCCATGGCTACCAGTAATGGCCATACTGTGCAAATGGTAGAGAGCAGGAGAGCGAGTAATACATATGTAACTCTTAGCACCAGCCCCCATGCCTATGGACCACCCCTCAGATGTCTGATAGTGGGAGGGGCAGCTGGCTAGCACCCCTGGGTGACTGAGGAGACCAACTCCCAGGCTACATGGGATCCATAGCCTTAAAAGGCAAAGGGCTGAGCTGCCACAAAATTCAGCCAACAGGGCCAATCTGGTCACCAGGAGTGGACTCTGCTGGCAGGGGCAGAAGCAGAATCTGAGGTGCTAGAGATGGAGCAGGGAGTGGATGATATAAGAATTCAGGACATATCAGGAGCCCTGGAGTTCTGGGGCCCTGAACCAAAGCCTTTAAACAGAGCTCTCTTCTGTGCTAAGGGTGCGTGTGCTCAAGACAAATGCCTGGGGGACATGCTCACGCAGACACTGAAGCCCCGAGTTGGGCTGAAAATGTAGATAGAACCAGCTTACTAAGATGTTGGCTATCTTTCTATTCCAGGGACTCCTATCCAGGCCTGCTGTCCACTTGTCATTTTGAGTGCCCAAAGAACAGGTTCTATGCCAGAGTTGTTTCTAGGAACCTCATTCTGCTATCAGGAGGTCTCCCATCCTAGGGTGCTCACTGGCATGACTGAAGATAAACAAGAATTCTCCCCACAGTTTGGAAATCATTTACAAATGCACCAGAGGAAGTGGCAGGTGCTGATGTGGGCTAGCCCATGGCCACTACCCAAATATTGCTGTGTGGTGCCCCTAGAAACAAGGTCTTCTAGTTTTGAAAGTCCAACAGAAGCCTCCTGGCCAGGCTCATACTACCTCCAGATCTGCTATATTTATAAGCTGCCCATGGCTGACACTCCAGGCCCTTGCCCAAGTCCAGAGATAAGGCCCTATGCTAACAGACCTGCTGTCCCGAACTTTCAAGCACAGTCACACTGCCAGTTACCATGGAGGCACCACTGGAGGCCAGGTCATAGCCCTGCAGAATACAGGAATCAGCCGTGGGAGCCACACAGGCATGTACATGTCCTTCCCAGGAGGATGCAGCTGCTGGGAAGGGCTACCTGTAGGAAAGCAGTTAGGGGGGCACCTACCAGGAGGCCTGGCGCATCCCATAAGCCACAGGGGCATGCTGGTGGCAGTGGGTGGAGTGAGACAGGGAACACAAGGCACACTATGACAATGTGACAGAGGATGGGTCCCTGAGATGCTGGGTCGCTCCCACCCATCAGCAAACAAGGACACAACAATGTCTAGGAAAATAGAGTACAAAAATCTCATACAGGAAATAGAGGTGGCATACACTCATGTCCCTTGTCGAGTCTTCAGAGCTTTTTTCTCTTTTTATAAAAGTTTCTTTTCGTGTTTTGGGTAAAGCCTCTGCCAGCTGAGGCTGCCCTGGGCAGGGCTCATGAGGCCCCTTCTGGGAGCTCCCTGTCACACTTTTTTTTCTTTTTTTTCTTTTCTTAAGAAAGGAAGTTGAGGCAGTCGCCCTTTCATCTCCACACTCCTGTCTAGGTGCCAGCACTTCTAGGATGGCCTCGCAAAACCGCGACCCAGCTGCTGCCAGCGATGCTGCTGTTCGAAAAGGAGCCGAGACCTGCGGGAGCGCCGCCCAGGGTCCTGTGGGTAAGAGGCTACAGCAGGAGCTGATGACCCTTATGATGTCTGGTGACAAAGGAATTTCCACCTTCCCTGAATCAGACAACCTGTTCAAATGGGTGGGGACCATCCATGGAGCAGCCGGCATTGTATATGAAGACCTGAGGTATAAGCTCTCCCTAGAGTTCCCCAGTGGCTACCCTTACAACGCCCCCATAGTGAAGTTCCTCACCCCCTGCTACCACCCCAATGTGGACACCCAGGGCAACATCTGCCTGGACATCCTCAAGGAGAAGTGGTCTGCACTGTATGACATCAGGACCATCCTGCTCTCTATCCAGAGCCTGCTAGGAGAACCCAACATCGATAGCTCTTTGAACACACATGCTGCAGAGCTCTGGAAAAACCCCACAGCATTTAAGAAGTACCTGCAAGAAACCTACTCAAAGTAGGTCTCCAGCCAAGAGCCCTGATGAACGCTGTCCACCTCTCTTCTGTGTTGTCTTTTTTTTCTTTGTCTGTCCTTTCTCCTTGATTTCTAAGCTGTGTTATTTTTGTTTTGTTTGTTTTTTTTTAAATTAAGTCTGCTTGAATCCTTACAATGTATATCAAATAAATACATTGTAGGACGGATCTCACGCCCGGGTCGTGCGGGGGCGGCCTGGGTGTGGGCGCAGATGTCAGGGCGGTCTCGGGACGGCGGGCGTTCCCGACCACGGAGAAAAAGGCTTCTCATCCCCTGTCCAGTGAGCTGGTGCACAGCAACAAGAGACACAGGACACAAGCCGCTTGGCTAACTAGAGTACAGAGAGCGCCGGGGCGGACGAACAACTTCTCTCCCTCCACCTGCCCCTCGCGGACAGGGGTGCGCACGAGCCTTGACTTACTCGAACAAAGAGTCCAGAATTTAGGAGACATGTGACGATTTAAAATATGTTGATTTATTAACAGATGACGGGCTTGGGTGGTGAATGATGAAACGCTCTCCTGAAACATGTCGGAAGGTGTCTTGCTTATATATTGGAAACGGAGGAGA